TGCAGTGCAGTGCTCTCAGTTCCAACTCTTGTTTCCCAGCAGCTCTTGTACCAGCTTTTATATGTGTCTAAATTCCAGCCTGCAAGACCTGAGCAGAAGATTCACCTTTAAAGTAGCTTCCTAAGTCAAGAGGGGAAACTTTTTTAGTTATTTTTAAATCTAGTTAATTTAAATTTGTACACTTTTCCCTGGGAAAGTTGTGTTGTTCTCACAACAGAAGATTATGTCATTTTTTATGTTGGCAAACCAAATGTGATGGCTGCAGGAGCCACTTCCAATCATAAAGCCAACTTGAAGACAAAAGATGTGCACTGAGGATGGCAAAGCTAAAAGCCTCAGTCCTAGGAAACTTGATGGAAACACCTTACCCACATTGGAATGCCCACATTTGGTCTAGTTTAACCTGAGAAAATAAACCTTTCTATGTTTAAACTACTGTTGTACTTGCTTTCCATTATATGACGCTAAATAGGATTCTCATACATATTGGCATTGGAGGAGCATGGAGATGCAATATTGGTCACTTACTATAATTCAGAGAATGTATTTCAATTTCCTGAGCAATGTCATGCCTTCATAAAGACAATAACAAGGTAAATATTGAGGAAATAATGCAAGTATGCTTGATACTCATTAAAAACAACAAAATCATGCAGGTATTATTTTAGAAATATATAAGAGCAAGGCATTCATTCAAAATATTGAACCCATATTTGCTATACATCATGTGTTGTGTTGGCTCTATCAAAACATAGTGGGACAAAGCAGGGGCCCAGAAAAACAGCTTTGAATTCAGACTCATTGTTTATTAGCTGTGTGACCTTGAGCAAGTTGTTTAATCTTTCTGAGGTTCGGTGTTCTAAATAACATTTGGAGCAAGGGGGTTTGTGAATATGAAATGGGAATGTAGATACAATAATTGTTTCACAGTTATGGTAACAGAGTTTTGGTACCTTCTGCATCTACAATGTGATTCTCTCCATCAAGGAACTTTCTCATGGAGGAACATACATAACCAGATGATACAGTGAAACTTGGAAGATTCAATAACAGAGGGGTGAGCAGAGTATTTTGGAATCCAGAGAAGGGAGTAACTAGTTCTGCTTAGGTAAGCTGAAAATAGGTTGTGTTTTCATGAAAACTATTCACCAAATATTTCTGGATTTCCTCCTTCTGACACATGGCAAGGTTGTCTCCCATCCTCTTTGAAGACTTGGCCTTAAGATTAGCTTTGGCCAAATGAAAACATGAGCAGAAGCACCATGTCTCACTTCTGAGTGTAAATTTTAAGAAGCAATGAACAATTTACCATGTTTCCTACTAACTGTGCTGTGATTGTGGAGTAAGCCTAGGTCTCTGGTAGCATCATAAGCCAGACCCCATTCCCACCTCCACCCATACTCATTGGATATATTGTGAATGAGAAATTAACTTCTGAAATTTTGGGGCTGCTTGTCACTGCAGCATCGCCTATCCTATCCCATCCTAACTGTTCCAAGTGATATTTGAAGACTAAGTGCCCATTTCCAGGTAAAGAAGGAGCATCAAGAGAATTTTTAATGCAAAGTTACAGTTTTATAAAAGGTTTAACATTTGGTGAGAATTCAGTGCAACTGCTCCTAACAGTGGGAGGTTGGGACAGAGGCAGAAGTTGCTCCTGAAATTAGGTAGCTAGGAGACAGTGTACATAAGGAACCATTAACAAAGCCAATTCCCTCAAAGACATTCAAGCTCAGGAACCATTCAGTAGAACCTTTAGATTCAATAAATTAAGAGTTCAGAAACAAATTAGTAAACAAAAATCAGAATAAGATGAAAATGGGGGCTATAGCTCTAAAATCAAGGAATTAAGGACAAAATCAACATTGACACAGTATTAATACATATATTATTAATGTAAGAAATAGGGTAGATGTAGCTGAAATTTTTTACTGACTAAAAAAAAAAATCCAACTCATAATGAATACAAACAGATGAAAAAAGGAGTAAGATAAAAAGACATTTAGAAAGAAGCTAAAGATATAATAGATATAAAGATACATTAAAGGTAAAGCCCATCAAAATGATCATTGGCCCTTAGGTAGAAAACTCAATAAATTAAAAATAAAAAGTATTCAAAAGCATAAAACAAGGATGTTATCTTGACAGAAAGATCTGTATCTGCAAACACAGAGGTCACAGTATTGCCAAGAGTATTTGAAATAAAATACCCAACACTTAGACCACTGTTTTTCAACCTTTTTTGGGCAAAGGCACACTTGTTTCATGAAAAAAAATCACGAGGCACACCACCATTAGAAAATGTTAAAAAATTTAACTCTGTGCCTATATTGACTATATATAAAGTAATTCTCTTGAATAGGAATCAAATAAACACAAAGAAAGTATTTTATAATTACTTTATTATGAAATATTAAGTAAACAAAATAGTGAAAAATTATAAAATTCTTGTCTTGTCTGCACCTACGGCACACCAGGCAACATCTCGCGGCACACTAGTGTGTCGCGGAACAGTGGTTGAAAAACGCTGACTTAGACACACCCTGGTTAAGTTACTGAACTTCAAAGAACAAAGGAAGAACTTATCAGGCATCTAAACAGAAAGGAAAAGTTAGTATGAGAGTAAGATATCAGCTTAGGTATCAATATTCAATGACAGAAGGCAATGGAAAAATGTATGTAAAGTTCTTAAGAAAAGAACATATTGATCTAAGGATATTCTACCCAACCAATTCGTTGCTCATCTACAAAGGCAACAGGCACATATCCTCATATATGAGAGAACTTAAACATATAGCATATAGAAAAGTTTCTTGAAAAGTTTTGAGTTTTCTGTTTGTTTGCTTTTAGTAAAGAAAACCAGACAATTCATAAATGGGTCAAAAAGTAAGCATGGTCAAAAGATGATGAATCATTTCAAGTTGAGGTTCAAATTCTAAAATCCTGTTGATTAAATTATAGAACAAATGTAACTTTTATTTCGGACAATGCAAAAATAATAATGTAACTAACACATATAAGAGAGAAAGTTACTGAACTTGTGGGCTCAGGTGGATTCAAGAAAAGTAGTTTCAGCCCAACCAGTGTGGCTCCGTGGTTGAGCAATGACCTATGAACCAGGAGGTCACTCTTCAATTCCTGGTCAGAGCACATGCCAGTATTGAGGGCTCAATCCACAATGTACTGCATGCAGGAGGTAGCTAATCAATAATTCTCTCTCATCATTGATGTTTCTATCTCTCTTTTCCTCTTCCTTCCTCTCTGAAATTAACCAAAAAAAATGTATATTTTTTTAAAAAGAAAAGTAGTTTTACATGAAATCAAGGAGGTGCCAAGGAAACTCCCAAATTACTATGTAGAGTCCTTTGGAGCTATGGGGTGAAAGCAAGCTCAAGAGACAAGAGCAGAAATGCAGGTAGAAAAGTCCAAATTTAACAAGAGAACCTGGAGGGATGTTCAGTGTTTTCAAACTGTCAACTACATGAGATTACAGCAGTCTCTATTATGTAGAGACCTCTGCCCAAACAAGGATTGTAAGCATAGTTCACTTAGTTGTGTAAATCAGAGAAATGTGGAAGAGCTGTACAACTGGGGTGACAATGAAGACAATGCATATTTTAAAAGAAGCAGTTTTGCCTTCTGACCTTCAACTGGTGGCATCTAAAGACTGCTATAAGTAATGCTAGTATACCTCCGTTAACACAGGGTTAGGTACCCAAATGAATGAACAGTCTGCCCAGCCCACCTGGAAACCTGTTAAGTGACATTAAATCTGAGTCTATTGCTTCAAGAGGGACTAACTACGGTCTGCAGATCAGCTTAACGATATTGGATTCTTGAGTCTAATGACAGCACCATGAGAATATGACAGCACCAAAAAGCCATCTGTTTCTTCCCAGCTGACTACTAAAACCATCAATGGATCAGAATCCAACTTCCTACATCAGTGTGATGCAATCTTTATCTTTCATCTCGTTATAATACTTAGCTTCCTCCTAAAAGTTTATGAACTGGTTTTGAGAGAATATTTCCAGACCTATGGCCCTTTGAAACAACTCTTCTCTTCTTCATTTGTAATTGCGTCTTTTGGGAAAACACATTTGCCAATTCCTGCTAGAAAAGACTCCCCTGGAGTGACATCTATCATTTACCCTTTTGTCATTACACTTCAGGGATACCTAACCTTGCAGATCATGCCTCCTTCTTTGCCAAACAGGAACCCTGAGAACAATCCATCTTGGCACAAATAGGTCACCTGCCCGTTCCCAAACGCCACATGATACATGCCAGGCTTGTGAATTAAGAGCCATTATTTTTAAATCATCTTATAAATCCCTCCACTTTTTATTTGTTCAAAAGAGATGGCACTCATGTTACTGCACTGCTATAATTTTAGGGTAAAAAAGGTATAAGAAGTATTTCTGACAAGGAGGAAGCATTGTCCTTGGTTAAAACATCGTTATGTTAATTAATAGTTTCTGCCTCCTAAGTTGCACAGTGTGGCTCTGACTTTACTTCTATGTCTTCTCCTGTGTGCATCTCTGGGAGGTTGCATGGCAGAGTGCACAGGTGCACGGATTCTGGGATTGCAGTTCTGGGTTTGACCCCTAGTTCTGCTGCTCATGAGCTATATGCGTCCTCCAACAACTCACTTAACCTCTCTGTGCCTCAGTCTCATCATCTGTAAAATGGGGTGATTCTTAACACCTGAGGTGGTTGTGAGCAATAAAGGATTTAATATTTGTATAGCATTTGGAACAGCATCTAGCGAGGATTCTCTTTTGTAAAGCAAAACTTTTTTTTTTTTTCTTAACACATTTACTTTTTAAACATTTTGTGATTTGGGGGTTTTCTGGTTCCCAGAACATATTAACATATTGAGAGCCATCAAAGGTTTTTTAGGAGCCAAGTGTTTACTTGTTTACTCCAAAACACCAAGAGTGGAATGGCTTTATGTTAAATCCAGAATCTACCTTGAAAAAAATATCCTCAAGGCTTTATTCATTTCATAAATAATGTATTTTATTTTATTGCATATGGCTATTGAGAGCATCCATGATCAATACAGACTAAATACAATGCACTATTCTAGTTCCACTTATTCTTGTCTCCAGCAGCATCACATTGACCCTTATATACAGCGTGTACAGTGGAAGACAGAGCAAGATTAGTTAAGTCTTTTGTCATATCACAATAGCAAGAAATATATTTAACATCTTGAAATCCAGGAACAAATACGTACCCAAAAAAGAAAACACTGTTTAATAACTGTTAAAGTTTATATAGCAAAAAATATTTTAAATTTAAGGTAAGTCAGGCAAAATGTACAAAGACCCCAATATACATTGTGAAGTTTTAGCAAACATAACATTTATACATTTTGGTTCCATTCTGTAAACTAAATTAAAAATGTAAATATTGCATATGCCTTTTTTGAAATGTACAGGATAGAGGAAAATTTAGTATACTACCGACGTGTCATTTGCTAGATTGAAGTTGCAGTATGAACATGAACCATTGGTATAGTGGCATGACTACTCTAAGTATAGAGAGCTACTTAAATACCGTCATACACTGTATTCAGTAGGGTCCATATTCAGTCCTACGTACCTGGAGGAGTCACATAGCAAATACCACCCGAGTCCTAGTCCCAAGACTAAATCAAAACTTTAGGACATTTTATACATTTTTTTATAAAGTATGCCTATTATACACTGAAGTTGACCTTCCAACTAATGTCATATGGTCTATGCACTGCTGTGATGGGTAATTTTAGAAAAGTAAAACTTTTAGAAAATGTCCCGGGGACCACTTTACATTCAACTTTGTCTTGCAATACAATCCTCTGTTCTAAAAGTTCAGCACGGAAGCAGGAAGACGTTTGCATTGCCATTAAATATATTCTTAAGACATTGAATTTTTTGGTCTTCCTCTTTAAAAAGCCTCATTTTTATTAATGCATTATCCTATAGCGATATATATTTATATATTTATATATATAATTTTTTCTCCAAGAAAAAAAAAACAGGAAAAAAAAACAAGTTCACACCTCCAATGAACTAGTGTAACCTCTTCAGGACTATCAGAGAAGATAGGCACTGGGGATGCACCCATGGGAGAAAAAGGTCGAGAGCCCTCCACCAAGTGTCAAGGGAGCAGCGAGATGATGTGACATTCTGCTGGTCAAGGGCAGCAGTGTTAGGCAACACCTGTGATAATCGACACAACACTGGTATTTTCAGAACACTGGAAACGTAAGAGCAGTCTTGTCAGGAGGTTTTCAACACTTGACATGTAGTGTGAGATTGTTTTCCTTATTTTTTTTCTTTTCCCATGAACAACAAGAGGGCCTAAAATGCCTCTTGTATCAGTTTCTTTCCTTCACTCACCCCTCCCGTTGTTTTGTTGTACTGTTGTTCAGGGAAGCCTCGTTGGCCCACACCATAGCATCATAGACAAGATAATAAATACATTTTTAAAAACTCTGCTAAACCTGTGACCACCCTTGAATTGCTAGCATGCCTAGGTGATTTTTTTGGTTACAGAAATGCAAGCTCAAAATTAAGGACAGTAGAGACATTTGAGCTTGTAGATAGGATCAAAGGCTTTCGCAATCTGAAGTACCTACACACACATCTACATAGAGAAGATTCAACACGTCCGTTAGAAAGAGATAGTCAGCCTCTTCCCCAACACCTCCCCTCCCACCCCCAATACCCAATACAGTTGATGATTTTCAAAAGTAGGCTGCTTCAGTTACATATAATTATTATTTATTCATCCATCTTCAAAGTCCAATCACACATTTCATTCCCATAGAGAAATGTCAGTCCCACACTGGGCTCTGTCTGTTGAGTAAACACGCAGGAACCTGGATTGGAGTCCGACAAGCAGCTGTGTACTGGGACCAGTTGAATAAGGCTGATGACCACACTTGCGCCGCATTCAGCAGAGATACACGGAGGTCCTGCCGGCCCCCAATCCTGCAAATCCGGCTTCACCTGGAACTGAGGTAGGACTGTGGTAGTTTTGAGTGTATGCCAGTAAATACCAGATTTTACCACTTTCATGGGTATTGGTAGAATCTCCTAGCATGCTGAGGGACAATTTGGCTTGGCCAAAATGAACCTAAGAAGAAAATTAAGACACTGGCCACAATTTAAAAAGGCCAACGAAAACACCCAATTTTCTTGAGAATTACACTTCTTCGGTAAATTGTGTTAAAACAACAAAACAAAACACAACACAAACAGCATAAGGATGAATGCCCCCTGTGGGAACCAGTGAGGGAGGCGGCTGTTCTTGCCTTGTTGGTTTCATGTCTAGGACAGCCACAGATGTTTTAAAACAAAGTCATTGCTCAGATACAAAAGAACAATTGTAAGCAGCTTCAAATGTTTTTAAAACGCTGAGCCTCTTCTTCTTCATGTGATTCTCTGATGTGTGATGTTGTGGTATGAAGCCAGGCAGGTCTTCACTCTGAAAAGACAAGAAGTCAGTCAGTTAGTATTGTCAGGAGAACAAGACGATCCTTAGAGGGAGAGAAAGACCCTTCTTAACCAGCCTGTCTAATCTGTGAATTTCATAAAACGATGCACTTTGGGAAGCAAACATCTATGCAATTCCCTCTTCCAGAAACAAGCTTGATGGGTAGCATAGCACTCCTATTTGGTTTCCCTGGAGGCAGAACTATTAGGTTTAGAGTAAGCTGTGAGATCAATGGAAGAAAACTATTCACACGTGCTGATGTGAGTCATTCCTTTGAGTGAGACATAGAGGCGACCCAACAAGGGCCCTCTAACTGCCCCTCTAGATTGTTTGAGGGGGAAGACCCACTGCCTTCCTGCCAGGGCTGCTGAGAAGGCGAGAAAACACGGCACATGTTCAAGTACTAATACACTATAAGCTACACCGATTGCCCAACTGCCCAAACTGTGTATCATAGTAAGAAAGAGAAAGTAGTAATGAGTCCTGCTCTCAGAAAAGCCTTCCAATTGGATCATCTACCCTATTCCTGAAACAACCCAAGATTCAAAAGCTCCTGCAATGATGCACTTGTTACATAGTAACTCTTCATCCACCCAACTCTCCATGTTCCAGGTTAACTGATTTTCTTGCTGAGCGTGGAGGGGACATGGCATTGGACCCCAACCAGTCATCGTTGCTACTACCCTTCCAGACTAAAGATTTCAACCTTTTTTTTTTCCAGTTTCCAACATTTACAGCATATTCTTACTGGAGTTGTTCCTTAAGGGACAGACTATGAGTTCACAGCATAGCACATTTCATAACCTGCATTTCTGATCATTTAGAATTCTGATCCTAGACACCCATCACACTCTCTGGTTTACTTCTTTGTGAATCTCATTCTTCTCTGTTCATTTTGAGTTCAGAGGATCAATGCCAACAAGTAATTACCAGGGTGGCCCTAACTGGTTTGGCTCAGTGGATAGAGCATTGGCCTGTGGACTGAAAGGTCCCAGGTTCGATTCTGGGCAAGAGCATGTACCTTGGGTTTTGGGCACATTCCCCAATAGGGGTGGGTGTGCAGGATGCAGCTGATGGATATTTCTCTCCTATCAATGTTTCTAACTCTCTATCCCTCTCGCTTCCTCTCTGTAAAAATCAATAAAATACATTTTAAAAAATTTTCCCGTGTGTCCCACAATGGGGAGTGCATGTGTGAAACCTCCCAGGCTCTGCACACCAGGCAGACAGTCCCCTGGTACAAACTGAAAGTACTGACTGTATCGTGTGGTCAGAAAAACAAAAGCCTTGTACAGACAGGGTGCTGTCAACCTAGAAGGAAATACTGGATCTTTTCATGACTGTTTTGATTTTTTATAGAGAGAAATGGACAGGCATAGAGAGTTGGAAATATTGATGAGAGAAACATCGATCAGCCGCCTCCTGCATACCTAACTGTTTTTAAATTGTCCCTGCAAGGAGGCTGTGCTAAGTGTGTCTTATTATTTTTAAAAAGTGTTACTTAGGACCTTCCAAAAAATATAATAGGCAAACTGTACTACAAACGAAACCTAACGGAAAACAGGACCCAAACTGTCCTTGGAAGGAAAGATGTCAGTGACCTCCAGCTATTTCACCCATTATCGTTAAGATTTCCGTTCACGCCCCTTAAAAGCAGGCGCTTGCTAAAATGTACCTGGATTTGCCTCTCATTCTAAAATGACTGCATTTTGTCACTCAAGCCTTGATTATGAGAAGTATCCCACTGCCACCTCAGAGTAGTTAATCCAGACCCTATGGATCCACGTGACGAAAGGTTTCTATTCATGGTTTATTTTGACACTAATGATACAATTATCATGACCTTAATTTCTATGCATTAACCTTATGAAAAGAGTTGATAATGGCCAGGAAATCATTCATTCATGCTTTTATTCACAAAATAACCTCTCAAAAGAAATTCTAGTTCGGCGCAGGGCCTCTCTAAGACACATGGGATATGCATGAGTGAGAGAGTCCTATCAAAGCGGGAGCCCCACAGCAGCCCTTCTCTTGGGAGGGAGTGAAAGCAGGCCTTTGAAATGTGTGCAGCACTCTGGAAATGCCTAGACTGCAGAGGACTGCCAGCCTGCAGTTACCAGCAAAGTAGCAAGCTATTCCAAAAGCACAGCAGAAGCGAGGGCTGTCGGGAGCCCAGGGATACAATTTCATGTTGGGACAGTAAGGAACCCAATTTCCCAGGAGGACGAGCTGCCCTAGTCCTTTGCGGAAAGGAAGGGGCAGGGAGAGCCACTGATGACTGAGTGCACAGGCTCACGCATGCATGTACTGTCACAGGAGGAGGAATCTGTTCATGGCACCTGAGATAGGAGCGAGCAGGCTCAGGACAGAGGACCAGAAGGAGGATGGCCACCAGCTCATCTTGGGCATGAGGTGTGCAGTGCTTCCAGACACTTTTGAATATAGAGATGTGCACTAGAGCGAAGACAACATTGATGCAACCTGTCTCCTATTGGGATACAGACCAACTGCTTTCCCTGGACGAGTCCTATCACGGAAAAGAATGGAGATGGTGGGTCTCCTCATGGCTCATGGAACCTCAGTCCGTGCCACTCAGCAGCCTGCCCCTGAAACATCTGTGGGTTACCAGCAATTCCCTGGACATCCTCCTCCACAGAAGTACCCACAGCAAACATGAATAGAGCAATCCTTGCTGAGATGCAAAAGAAGGAAAAGGCTGTGGATATCTCCACATCGGAGTGAGATGACTATTACTTGCTGAGCAAAAGGGTTCTGACAAAATCTACGGAAGGTAAATACTCACGAAGAATGCACAGAGCAAAAAGGGGTCAGTTTTAGAAACCTACCTACAATTTCTTAATGTTACGGAAAGAAAGTTGGAGATAGAAGAAAAGTGCCTCAACTGAGATCTAAAACACCTGTTTCCAATATGGGTGGGATGTAAATCTCTGGTGCACATGCCAGCACGGGCTCTGACCTAGGACCACAGGAGGGAACCAGCCAAAAGAACAAGTGGTGTGGGAAGTACTCAGGAAAGAAGCCAGGGCTAAAAGCATTAGCATCAAGCCAGGTCTGAAGGCCACCTGGAAATCCTTAAGTGTCATTCCCTCATCCACAGGAAGAAGAGGAGAGGCAGGAACTGGAACCTAGGAATGCGAGGACATTTTCAGCCTTTTTATTTACCTACTTTTAAATTAAGTTAAGTTATCCCTCCCCTTGCAAATTAATCTGGTTCTTCCAGAGGAGGAAATAAAATGTCTGCTAACACTACTACTGACCTGATATATTCAACTTCCAGGGAGGGCTTCCTAATGATGAGATTCAGCAAAATTTTATTTATTTATTATCTATATTAATTCTAGTAGAAGCAAAGAACAAATGATTAATTTTAGGATCACTGCACACTGAATATTCATTCAGATGGAAGACATTCTTGGAACACATTAGGTGCAACAGCAAAACAAAAGAGAATATAGAAGAAGCATGTGTTGGTCCTGAATGCAATTACAGAACAACCTGCACCGACTCTGTTCTCAGAGGCAACGCATCTAAAAATAAACTTATTGATACTCATTGAATCTGTCATATAATTACACACTGTGCTATTCTGCAGCTTAGACCTTGGTCCGTCCAGAATCCTATCCACAGGAGCATTGATCTAGAGTTACTTGACTCAAAACAGAACTTTCAGCAAAAAGATTAAAGTTGCTCCATATGACAGGTCATGCAGGCTAGCTAGTTCCCATATTTTATTTTTCTGCTCTGTCACATAGGATAAATGATGTTCATATGAGTGTAGTCCCAGGTGCCAGTTAATTCCCTGGAGACTAGTAATAATTCCACTCCATTTCTAAAATATTGAAGAGCAATCAGGATGCAAATGACAAGAGTAAAAAAAAGGTAGGGTCTAGTAAAGACCGAACATTCAATCTGCCCTATTTTACAAGATAGATAGATAGATAGATAGATAGATAGACAGACAGACAGACAGATAACTGAAAAACTTTGCCATTAAAACAAGTGGAAAAGCTCTCTTTCCCAGATGGCACAAAGTTTAAAATAACTAACATGCCACGGCACCTGTGCACTGGGCTCCATGATTTCAGACTTGTTAGTGGAAGATACATTGAAACATCAGGTCTAGAATGTAGAGCTCTCTGGAGGGCTCCATATACAGCTCCATGATACTATTCAATGTAGGGCTCCATACACATCTCCATTGAGGGCTTCAAACACAGCAACATGGGACTCCATACACAGTTCTATGTAGGGCTCCATAAACAGTTCATAGAGGGCTCTATACACAGCTCCATGGAGGACTCCATACAGTTCTATGTAGGGCTCCATATACAGCTCCATGTAGAGCTCCATATATAGCTCCATGTAGGGCTGCACATATAGTCCCATGTAAGGCTCCATGTAGGCCCCATATGGAGCTCAGTGCAGAGTTTCATGTGCAGCCCATGCAGACAATCCCATGGAGGGCTCCATGGCACTGATGAAGGGAACAGGGCCTCACTGGCCTCACAGTAAGCAACACTGGACCAAACAGAGTACAGTCCATTTAGTAGGTAACATTTTTAGACATATCTGAATTAAGAGTTCTATAGGCATGCTCTGCATGACAAAATGAAAAAAATATATACTTAAAAATAAAAATTGATATTTTTGTAGCAACTATGATTAAGAAATAAACTCTCCGGTGAGCCCACACATGTCCTTAAGGCCCATTCAGATCTTTTGTGTTAAATATAGAATTATGGAGGGAAAAATAAACTTTTCAGTTAAATGAGAAATTCCTAGAAAAATATACCTGATAATTCAGTATCTCCACACTTTACTGAAAGCAAAACACTCTTAGAATATACAAGCAAAAAAAAAAAAAAAAAAAGTTAAGGTTGGGTGTGATAACGAACAAGCCAGAGATTCTAAGAAAAACTAAGAAAAACGGTTACTGGAACCTTTCTTTTAAATTGAAGAGAAAAAAAAATCACCTAAAAGAAAAATATGGAAGAACAAGTTTCCCCGGATAAATGGGGGTAGTAAATTACTTTACCAACCCTACCTGTGAAAGAGTTAAAAATGTTACATGAGCTCATCACTTCCACTGACAAAACCATTTCACTCTGAATGCTTGTTATTAAAGACATTTCCTAGCATCAAGTTGTAACTTGATGTTAATGACACAATACGAAACAGGATGAGACAATGAGAAAACCTCGTTTTCATATAAGGCTGGGGTTAATAAAAGGTATCTCTCCTTTTTTAGCTCCTGTTTAATCCTTCTCATAAGACTTTGTCTTAATCCCCAAAGACTAGAGTAACCAGGCCTCCTGGACTGTTAGCTATACACTTCCAATGTATCTCCACATAGTCACGCTTTCATCCACAACATAGCTTCAGCCAACTTTATATCACCTAAGTATTTGTTTCTTTTCTGTACCTGTTATTAAAAGGACTGATCTGTGCATCCTGTAAGCTACTCTTCTACGGCAAGGTTTTCCCACACCTGCAGCAGCAGTGTCCATTGGAGAAATATTGTTTGTTTGTTTTTCAGCACAAACACCCAAGAGGCAGCAATGCCTCTAACTGCCGGTGGACCCTAATATGGTTCAATTATACAATGTTAGACCTTCCTAGGTAAAATCCAGGTGAGGGAGCATCAGTGATTTACCCAAAACCTCACATCTGGTCAAAAGGACAGGAGAGTCCTTAACTTCTCCCAGAACTTTCCTCACTACTCCACTTGGGGCCATCCATGCCAATTTCTGCAAATGATGAAAAGGGAGAGGAGGGGCTAGAAGAGGAGGCCTGGAATTTTCACTTATTTACACAGTGCCATTAGCTTTTATACAACCCTTTCACTGCCCAGACAATGAATTTCTGCTCTGTGCATCTGCCTCCCCTGCGAGGCGAAGAGTTGGACCATGCCTGTCCCCAGCATCTGGCACAGTATTTATTTGGTCCTTACAAAGCTTTGTTGAATTAAATTGAAACAAAAACCCATGTGGTTTATGCCATTTCTCATAGGCAGAAAGGCTAAACATTTTTTTTTCCTAAAGGAGAACAAAACTTTAGAACTGTCTGAGGCCCAATAGAAAAGACCTTCAAAGAAGGAGAGTGGAATTCTAAGACAGAGGTCAGCAAAGTATGGCCAAATCTGGCTTGTTGCCTGTTTCTGCAAATAAAGTTTTATTGGAACACAGCCACACTCATTCATCTGCATTATAACTGCTTTCACACTTTAATAGCAGAGTTGAGTATTTGTTACAGAGGCTGTATGCCCGTCGACATAAGGAAGACAATGAGGAGAAAGAAGGACTAATTTGTCAAAATAACACTGTATAGTTCCATCTGTATCTTACACCTGGGGACTAACTGATACCCCCTTTGAAAATTATCTGCAAGCTTACATACTTTAGAAATGCAATACTATCTGCTAAGAACCATGCTTTCCGATTACAGACCCTGCTGAAAATAAGGAAGCAAGTTATGAAATCATTTATGAAGCTGGCACCCTTTTGGAATTAATTTTCCTTACTTAAGGTTCTTCTATGCGGTTTCTCATGCATAACACAGAAGTACTGAATAACTCTGATTATTACTAAATATATCCCACACTATCACTTTCTCAACTTAAACAGAGGTAAAGTTATTCACATCAGATCTGCGATGCTAAAGGACCAAACCTTTTCTCTTTCTTAAGTTACTGGAAAATGTGAATATAAGCATTACGGTTTCTGCCCTACAAACCAATAAGAATATTTGGGATATATGATAACTTGCCTAAAAATGCAAATAGTCAATGTATGGTATAATTCTTTCCTCAAATTTAACACATTATAGTTATGATTTTATACTGATGTAAAAAATATGTATTTTATTTACACTACAAAAATGTTTATATTGCTTATATCTGAAGTTCTCAAACCTAAGTGCTTTTCCTATGAAATTATATAATATACTAGTAGGATAACAGTTTATTCAAACTATATCCATCCCCAGTAGCTTGTTATATATCATTACAAATGAACCTTTCTTTCAAATGTTTAAATATTTTAAGAGTTGCTACTACATTTTTTGTTTTTTTTAGTTTCATGATTATTTTTTGTTGTTGTTTTTACCACTGAAATTGAAATAAGCATTTTCTGAAGCCTGAAATTATACCCAATGCAACTCAAATACCTTCTATAATATTACTAAATGTGACATACTTATGAGACACCTAAATAGGTATACCATTGGGATTCTAAAATGTAATCTTTTTCATATTTAACAAAAATACAGTAATTTGAAAATGTATTGCAAATAGGTATACTGAAGTACTTGTCTTTCACTACAAGGAAAAAATAAGATTCAAGAAAAAAGGGAAAAACTATATAATCCACTGCCTCCCCTTTTCCCCACCCCACTAGGCCAGTGAGAGAGCCACTCCTCCCTCTAGAAACTGAGCTCCCACTGGGCACAAATATAGTGGCCTTAGTAGCGTCTGCTCCTCTATAGGTAAATTCCTCCCAGACCATGGTGTGTAACATCTGCATAACAAAGGATGCCAGCTTTGCCTCTTGGGAGGAAAACTGTATCTAATGTAACAGCCTTCATGTAAATGGGCACTCTTTCAGGTCTACCAGTAAGGTCAAGGCTGAAGGCAAACCCTCCTCAGGAATTGAAGTGCGTAGTCTCTTTACCTGGCACAGGTCAGAGTACTCATTCCACCATCAGTCACCACAAAAGCATTCCTGGGAGCTTAGGAATGACTCAGGGCAAGCTGTTCCCACACCTTAAAACCCCATGCCAGTCCCATGGCTCAAGCAGACGTGGGTGTGGAAAGCCACTGGCCCCACCAGACTTAGGGTTCTGGGGCCCAGGACCCACCACACCAGCCTGTTAATGGGGACATTATCCTCCCACCCTGAATTTTTCACTGAGTCATTGTGAAACCGCCAAACAAAGTTTTATGTAAACAATTTATAAACAACACAAACACACATACCTATATTTTTTTCATATGTGGCGAGGCACATGCTACTGGCATGACTTGCATCTTGTGGTTGATCCTGTTGCTTTCTTCGTGCACCTTTAAATGGTGTACACATGTAACCACATGTTTTGTTTTGAACTACAAAGACTTCTTAAACCAGGCAGCCCTTGGCTGCCAAGGAGAGCCTGCTCCTCCCGCCCTGCTCGCTGGGCTAATTTGTGGAGCTACAGCCGCGGTGTCTGAGCACACTGGCCATCACAGCTTTCCCTTCATTCAAAACTATATCCATGAATGACATCACGAACAACTGCAAATTCAGCAGCGCACAAACAAATGATGAATACACAAAAACAATGGCGAACAGCTCCCGGAATAAAATGAATAAACTCGCTTTAATGGGAGAGCAGCAGAACAGAAGTAGAATTGTTTTTCTGGGGGTAACTCTAGGCCATGTCAAGCTAACAGTTCTCAATCGCAGCACAGGGCGCCTTGCCTAGCTGCTTTCTTCACGCCCCGTGGACGGGACAAAATGCCCAAAGAGGGGCTCCATGTGTCCCTTGGCAGGCAGCTGCGCCCAAGGAGAATGCACAAATCTTTCTTCATGTGGCCTGTGCCCAGCCGGCACGATAGGTTATCAACTAGCTGAGCTCTGATTAGTCAGGGCCACAGGGCATCATCGTCTTTCTGTTTTCTCTGGCTTCTATACAAAGATGCACCAAAATAGAGATGGACATTTAAATTCCTCTGGTGCAGATAAGAGATGGAGCTGACCCAAGTCCACCGATTCACTGTGCATGCTCCTTACAGACAGGCAAAGAGGGGGACGGGGGGGTGGGCTGGAGGGGGGGAGGTTTCCCACAAGCAGCACACTAGCACTTCTCAGGTTTTACACCCTCCGCTCCACACTTATTCCACAGTGCTTTCTTAAGGTGGAAATTCTATGAAATACCTGGACTGATTTCAGTTTCCAAATCAGCTGAAGAATTAAGTCAGTTGGTTGAATAGCCTGAATTTAGCATCCCTCACAGGAAAGCAAACTATTTGGGAGACCTTGGGTCAGAGAGAGCTGGAAATGAGGCTGCACACAGCACTGACGTAGATCCAAGAGATATATATGTCCAAGATGTGCCCCAGGATTTTTTTTTTAAATAAATTTTTTAAAATAATTTTTTTATTGATTTCAGAGAGGAAGGGAGAAGGAAAGAGAGAGAAACATCAATGATGAGAGAAAATCATTGATACCTGCTGCCTCCTGCAAGCCCCACACTGAAGATCAAGCCCACAACCTGGGCATGTGCTCTGACCGGGAATCAAACAGTGACCTTCTAGTTCATAGGTCGACGTTCAATCACTGAGCCATGCAGCCTGGGCCCCAGGAATTTTTTTTTTAATTTTTTTTTCTTTTTAACAGACAAAGGCACCATATTGCCTAGAAGACACAGAACCAGGCTCAGCAGGCCTCCTCGAATAGTGCCTCCGTCTAGGTCGGGAAAGGCTCTCCAGCATGGCCAAGACAGGCCTGCGGGAGGAACTCTCCATCCTGGGGTTTTCCTTTTAA